GTCACCCCCCCGATTTCGAACCAACATGGTCCAGGGCGTCCCCCTTACATGCTGGCGCAGTCACGGGCTGAGAGGCCGGAGTTCGTGCCCCCTGGCTCGCGCCGGAGGGTGCTGTCGGGTGGCACACCCTTAGTTGACTGCGCAAAGTGCAGAACGTTGTCACATCAAGTGGTTTGGTAAAGATATCCGCGACTTGATGTCGCGTATCGGTGTAAACAAGACTAAACGTCTGTTGTTTTACAAGGTCGTTGATGTAATGGTAGCGTACATCAATATGTTTGGTACGCCCATGGTGGCTAGAGTTGTTCACGATATGAATGGTGCTCTGATTGTCCTCGTGAAGAGGACTCGATGTGGTGATCGGATGTCCCATCTCACCAACTGCCTGCTTGATGTACAGGCATTCTTATGCAAGTGGGCACAGAATCATGAGTTCTGACTCGGTTGTCGAAAGGACGATGCTCCACAGCCTCTTAACGATCCAAGAGATCGCAGAGTTCCGGTAAAATGTCAGCCCGCGACGCAGCATCGTTGATAACACAGTGAGCGTAGTCACTGTCCGCATACGCATGAAGCGGGGCGGATTGATCGTACGCACCGCTGAGGACGAGACCGTAGTCGATCGTTCCTCTGATGTACCGGAGGGCGACCTTGGCTGCCTGCCAGTGGGCAGGGCTGAGGTTCGTGAGGAACTGGCTCAGTTGTTGGACGATGTACGCGAGGTCGGGTCGAGTACTAATCATGAGATACATGATGCTGCCGACTACTGATCGGTAAGGCTTGTCCACCATAGACTGGCGTTCAGCATCGTTCTGAGGACACATCTACTCAGACAGCTTGAGATTGTACTCCATTGGAGTGGGGGCTGGTTTTGAAATCTCCATGCTGAACCTCTTGAGGATCGAGGTTGCATATTGGGATTGATGCATTGTGATAGTTCGAGCAGAACGATCTCGAACAATGTGAAATCCGAGAATAAAAGTGAGAGCCCCAAGGTCATGCATTCGAAAACGCGATGACAGACCATGTTTGATGGTGCGCATCATGTCCGGTGAAGGAGCCATGATGACCAGGTCGTCAAAGTAGACGCCGATGTAAACGGCTTGGCCGTCCATCTGCTCGGTGAAGACACAGCAGTCTTTGATGAGCTGTGTGTACCCTTGCTGGCGCAAGTAGTTAGCTAGTGTCTGGTACCACAGGTGAGGGGCTTGCTTGAGACCATAAATACTGCAGAGGACCCGAAAGACATCGCGGTGATTCTTCGCGGTGTCAAATCCAGGTGGATGTTTGACGTAGACCTCGCAGTCGATTTCTCCGTTGAGAAAGGCAGTGATAACATCCATGGCGTCGATATCGTAGTCGAGAGACGCGCCGAGTGTGAGCATCGTTAGAAGGATTTCTTTGGCAATGACCGGGGAGTAGCTCTCCTCGTAGTCAACGCCTTGAATTTGGGTGTGTCCTTGGATCACAAGTCGCGCTTTGTAGCGAGCGACGCGTCTCATAGCCTCTGTGGCCGAGTCGTCGTATCTGGAGGCAAGGTGGCTGGTTAGAACGACCCGTTCGCCTCATGGGCTGCCAGCTCGAGCATCATGGCTTCAAGCCACTGCGCTTTGGTAGGCGATTTCATCGCCTGTGTGTAGGTCTTAGGCTCCTCTGAAGGAGTCGTGTCCTTGAGGGCGAGGAGGATGTGTTTCAGTGTCGAAAGAGATTGAGCGCCTGAGGCGTCCTCAATATACGACATAAGCAATTGAGCTGGACCGTCGCGTGGACGTGTCCGCCGTGTCCAGTGTGGTAGACGTCGATGAGTACGACATGTGCTATCGCCGCTGCTCGAGACCGTGAGGGCCGAGGCGGAATTGTGAGCAACTGGGTTGTCGTATGTGACGACGGTGGAGTGGAGGTGGATGTCGTACTCACATATGCCGGAGTACGGCAGTCTGTACTTCTCGTGGAACGAGGTACATGGGACGGGGAAATATTCCTCCGTTGTGTTGAAGGTCAACGTTCGACGACGCTTGGTCGTCGGAGTTGTGGACGACTGGTGTGAGGGGTGGCGAATGATGCCACCCAAACGGGCGGAGTGATGTCTGGTACGTCATGTACGACAGGGACTTGTCACACTGTACTTGTTGACTAGGCAGTAATGCCTCCCTAAGTGTGGGTAGAGGTGTGGCCGTATCGGCCTCCCCAAATGAGGGAAAAGGTGTCGTCCATGAAAAGGCCTCCTCAAATGAGGGTAGAGGTGTTGGTGTCGTGGACGACGCAGCCCCCCAAAGGGGTGAAGGCAGGCTAGGTTGAAGGGGTGGTGGACTTTGGTCCACGGTGAAACAGTTCTGCTGGGGATGTTCACTTCGAAGACGTTTCACGTCCTCGACTGATTTCAGGAGGGGGAACTGATGTTCAACGAACGTCACAAGCACGTAATGCGTGTCCAGCTTCATTAGCTTGAACCCTCGAAATGTCTCGGGTAAGCCAATGTACATGCACAGCATGCCTCGGGGAGACAGCTTGTTCACACGAATGGGTATGGTGACGTGTGCGTACGCTACACAGCCAAATACGCGTAAACGTGCGTAGTCTGGATGGCTCCGGTGCCATAGACGATACGGAGTATCCCCACTGATGGTGGTGGACGGCAGTATGTTCATGAGGAACACTGGGTGGGAAATGGCTTCGCCCCACAAGAACTGTGGCAAATTACCATGCAGTAGTGGAGTGAGCTATGGTGACGATGATGCCCATACGCCGCTCGGCCACAGGGTTCTGGGACGGGGTATAGGCATTCGTGTACGTACGTATTCGCTTTGAATACGGGCCCCGAGTTTGACATACTCCTTAGCGTTGTTTGGAGCGCTTGGATTTCCTCGAACTCACTGGGTGGTGAGAGCTCGATGACTTCGGAGCGATAACGCTGCCGTACGTCGCGACAGAACGCGCTGTACTTGTCGTACAAGTCCGCGCGCTTTTGTACGATGTACACAAAAGTGTATCGGGTAAAGTCATCGATGAACGTGATGAAGTATCGACCCCCAGAGATAGAGGGGATATTGATTGGACCCCACACGTCGAAGAGCACTCGTTCCAGAGGCCTCGACGACTTTGGTAGTTTGTTGCATGAAAAGGGAAGTACGGTGGCTTCGACCTTAAGCATGTGTCGCACGAGGCATGGGCCGTGATGGCCTGCCAAGAGATGGGAAATTCGAACACTGTCGAATGACGCCGCAATATGCGGAGCTTGTCATGACTTGGATGGCCCAGTCGATGGTTCCATGGCGTAGTGTCGTGTGTACTCGACTGCGTCACGAGGACGGTCGATATGGGGTCGGCGATGCGTGGAGAAAACCGCGTCATAATGACGTACAACCCGGTGGCTTCGTCGTAGGTTGCGGTGAACTCGCCGTCGTAGGTGGCTATAGTCCACTCCTGTGGGGTGATGGAGACAATTTGATGTCGACCCTCGGAAAATAAATCGAAGTGCAAATCTGCGATGTGATATACATCCTGCAGATAAATCACTAATGATTCGTCGTTGGTGTCAGCGACCTGGAGTCGTACTGTGCCACGACCGAATGACATAGAGTTGGTGGCCGTCAGCTGCACCATCAAAGGATGAGAATTGTTCATAGTTGATGAACCACTCACGATGGAAAGTGGAGTACTTGGATGAACCACTATCTACCGTCCAGTGACGGGATCGACTTTGCTCCTTGACAACCGGGCGGGTTGGTGACACGCGAAGTGCCCATCCAGTACCCGTAAATACAAGTGATCGCGATACAGTAGTATCGAGCGAGTCGTAATACAGACTGAAGTCCTGTAATAATGTCGAAAGTACTTTGGATGTACTTGACTTGTCGGTCGATGTTGTAGTCCCGTAAATCAAACATGTGAATGTTGTTCATCTAAAATATGTCGAGGCATAAATGCCGGCATGTGTGCGTGAAGACATAAATAAGGAGTCTGGTCACGTTGTTGACGTGTGTTCTGCGACACTAACGTACGGGTAGAGCTGCGCTGCGACTGCGGTGGCGCCGGTCGGCATACATCGAATGACTACGGCTGCGGTAGCGCCGGTCGTCTTGGTTAGTCGCGGTAATAGCTGCGGTCTTCGCTGTAGTCGCGGTACCGGTCGCCTGAGCGACTGCGATAGCGGGAGGTCGACTGACGAAACGGGCTACGGCCGCGTTGATTTTCGCGATAAGCGCCGTAGTCGAAGCTGGCGTAGCCTGGATGGCCGCTGGGAGCGTAGCCCGGTGGACCACTTGATACGTAACCTTGGCGAACGGTGTTGAGGAAGGATGTCCCGGTTCCTCCACCACGCCCACCGCCTTTGCCATGGCGTTTGCCACCGCGGTGGCCGCTTGGTCCGCCTTGATTGCGTCGACCACCTCCACTTGGGGGTAATTCGACAGGTGGGATGGCAGCTCATCCTGGCGGAAACACAAAGTCTTGACGCACCACGTTGTGAAACGCACGGGAGAGCTTCGTGCAGGTGTATGTCGAGTGGCTGCCTGAGGACAGGCAGAAGCCACACCAATCCGCCATGGCCTTGGGTGCCCTAGGGTGCGGCGGCCGCTTGTCCGTAGCCGTCTCACTGGCTTGCGCCATCGCGAAAGGCCGGAAGTGTCAATGCGCTAGACCGCGTTGTCGCGGTCGCGGTTGCCGACCATGCACCGGTGCAGCCGCGGCGATCGGCGCTGGGCCGAGGTAGTGCGGGTACTTGGTGACCAAGCCCGGCCAATGTTGTTCAAGCAACTGGCGCATGTTCTTGTATGGGATGCTCGGCTGAGTGCCGCACCATACGAACAGGTCTGGAGCGATGTACTCCGGTAGTGCCGCCAGGAGGGCCGAGGCTAAGTGGCTATCTCTGAGGGGTCGCCGTTCCAGCTTCTCTGCTGCCGTTCGCATCTTGTCGAAGGCTTGGAGGTTGATGTCCAACGACACGTGAGGCTTGAACTTTAACGTGTGTAACCGTTGTAAACGGAAATAGCCGTTGCATGTTATTGTTCGTCGCTGGAGAACTTCCACCGAAGCGACGAAATAATGCAATGAGCACATTCGTCGCGAATCTCGGCAGCGGCATCGCGCTGGACTGTTGGTGACAAGGAGGCGTAGACCAGCGCGCATGAGCGCGAGATGGCCGTCTTCTCCAACTTGATCAATTCATCGCCTCGTCCGTCGAGCGGTTGTCTGCGAGCCACTAGGTGAGCTCCGGACCCAGTAACAGATGGGCGTCGATCGTGAGTGGTGGGAGCGGCGGTGAGCCCTCAGGCAGTGCTACCGCTTCGGCTTGGTGCAGGCGAATGCACTTGCAATCGTTGAGGAGTACCTTGTAGGCTAGACGGAGTCCCTTCATGGACATGACCGTCTCAACTTGCGCACAGTTACAACTTGCGCACAGTTAGTCGCCATCTCGGTGAGATCCTCACCGGCAAGGATGACGGAAGTGTATTCAAAGAACGAATTGTCGAAGTTTTCGGCGCCGAGGAGGCGCTGCGTGAACGGAAGGGCAGCGCGAGAGGTAGCAGGTGGAAGGCTCATAACCAGTGGAAAGGGCAGTAGGCAGGAGCAGACACGTGGGAGGCAGAAGGAAATATTGAAAGTGAATTACTTCTGACTGGAAAGAACCAGCCAATCAAAACTAAGTATGATTGACCACGACATCCAATGATGTTCCGTGACCAAATGTCTGCGCTGACTTCTACCTGACGAAAAGCCCACTAAAAGGCGCAAAAACCTCCTAGTAGACGCTGCTACCTGGCTGACAGGACAGTGGGGATGTTCTCTACCAGAACAGGGTGTTCTGACTCGAAGTAACTCAAATTGCTTGACAGGTAGTGCCTTCGTTAGAAGATCTGTGAGCATTTCCTCTGTCTTGCAGTATTGGACTTTCATTACAACTAAGTCTCGAGCAAATAGATATCTTATCTCGATTTCCAGGATTATGAACAATTGTCAATTGCGTGTTATCGCACGAGATAACTTTGGGGGCAGTTCGTTGAAATCCCATCTCTATAAGAAGATGACGGTCCCACTCACATTGTTTAACGCCTTCGCTTAATGCAACCAACTCAGATTCTGTTGTAGAACTGAAACACAAGCTTGCTTGTTACTGCACCACGAGATGCAGACTCCAGCAATTATGACAAGATAACCAGTGATGGATTTAACATAAAAAATCAATTTTAAGACACATGACTCAATTTAATATCTATGTTCAAGAACCAATCAAACGGCGCAAAATAGTTTGAAGCACACCTTTGCAAATAAACATCCTCGTGATATCCATCGGGAAAGGCGAGAATGCATATTGGAAAGCTCCTTGCGAATTTATAATCCGTGCAAAAGGATTGATGACCTCTATAATTTAATACCCTAAACACAAAATTTGTAAGCAAATGATCATAATTTGATCAAGATAACAACATGTGTCTTAAATTGATTCTCAAAATGGTATCAAACTTGCTTAATTTTTTGTGTTTTTCTCATGCAATACGACTGCAAAACACAATACAATCGGTGTGTGGCTGTAAAGCATTATTTCAGCTATAATATCCAATTTTCGGAGGTTGAAAACGTTGCCTGATTTTTACGTTGAGTCGCGAAACTTGCGTATGTGTATACATCAAAGGAAAACCAGCTTGCTTTCTGTCAATTAGAAGTCTATATGTAGACGTCACTTTCAAGTATCTTAGTACTCTCAAGGCTGCTTCCCAATGAGAACTATTGGAGCAACTCAAATATTTGCTCAATTCCCGAACTACATTACTAGCTATATCGGGATGAGTACCACGCACTAAGTATTGAAGTGATCCAACGAGTCCTCTGTAGTCAAAGGGCTATGCTGCAATCTGAGTGGAAGTCATTTGAACCTCTGGCTTCAGTTCTACTCCCACTACCTGTGGAGTGGTTGCTGTTCTACAACCTTCCATCTTGTATTTCGTCAAGTGATCCTTAATGAACTTCTCTTGTGAAAGCGCCATCGTTTTCTGAGACCGATTCCTGGTTACACGAATTTTGAGTGTGTCGTTGAGATCGCCTAAACCTATCATTTTAAAGCGTGGGTGTGGAATTTTTGCACGTGGTTTTTGGCGTGCATGCACGTGGTTACATTTAGGTGGTATATTTGCACGTGTTTCAATCTACGAATGCCAATTTGAACGATTTGCACGTGGTATAATTTCCAGTCAAAAATAGTTGCCTGTGGAACGCGCAAATAATCCAACAGCTTGCTCTACAAGTTACTACGCAGTAAGCGTGAAGCCCACATGATTTTGGCCATGCGATCAAATATAGATACATGTTAGATTATTGGATTACTCTACCTCGTCCGTATACATGGTCTAGTACCGTCACTGAGGGATGCCCTCGACACACACAAACTACTGCATCTCGGCCATTTTCCTTGGCCACAAGCACTGATTCTTGGACTGGTGTCACCGCTGAACGATGCCCTCAGCGGTGGTACCAATCCCATAAACATAGTGAAAGATCGACTTGCCAACGTCGGTGCCAACCACCTCGCGCCGCCGACCATGGCGGCACCACGACACATACAAACTACTACATCTCGGCCATTCCTGGGCCAAAACCAGTCCCACATACATAGCGAAAGACCGACTTGCCAACGTCGGTGTCGAAGATCTCGCGACAAACTACTATATCTCTGCCATTCCTTGGCCACCTCGCCGAAGAATTTGCTGGTATAAAGAGAACTCGTAAACCAACTTGCAATGATGTAGAACTATATATTAAATTTCTAACGAGACATTGCCATCGACATCGACTCCACCTACGAAAGCATCGTGCACGGCTTGGGCAGCACCTCGCTTTGTCAATACAAGTTGTTTGGTGTGCTCGCCTATCACAAATTCTGCCGTCCAACGCTTTTGTGCGGGAAGGTACGACAAGATTGTACCCACGGTAGTTTGAAGTGTCCACTTGCTTGTAGGCTCATCTGATTCCAGTATCTTGAAGTTTCTGGAACACTTGAATCCTACGATTGTAAGTGGCCTGCCTTCAATCCGAGCCAGAAGCGTGTCGACCCGAAACTCATGTTGTCGCGTGTCAACGGTGAGGCTGTGGTATTTTTTTTTCGGACGTCCAGACTTCTTTCGCACGGGAAGTCGTCGAAGACGCAGTTGTATGTCGAATCCATGAAACAGGGACACACACGCGACAACGTGGGAGCAGAGCCATCCCGATGAAAAATAGCCCGGACACTCGCACTTGAATTTTTCTCGGATTTCTCCACACTATATTTAAACATTGCTACTATAGAGTGTGATTAATGTTACCTCAACATGGGAGAAGGGCTGTAACGATGACATATCAGAACGAATTTCGACATCATCGTCGATTTGAATACGGTGCAAACTCAAACACAGATCATCTATTTGTTTGTCGGTTGTTGGTACGAGACCATTTTGGGTTTCGTCGATTGACGCCAAGTATCTACGCAAGCCAAAATGACATCGTAACAGTTGTGGAGTAGCTACCGTTTTGAACGAGTGCTCGTTATCTTCTTGCGCATATGGGTGGTGCTGTTGAAGAGAACCGTTGACGCCGCAACTTGTTGCAGGTGGTTGACTTGTTCAACAAGCAGCGCAGCCTTCTCCAATATTGTTGTTGACACTGGTGACTCGTCCCACAAGTCCGGCGAGGTGGTGATGTCAAGTCCATCCGATACAAGGACGCGAGGAAGTATATGTCCGAGAACCACGCTTGTTGTAGCTCTGAGTTCATGTGCGCATACCTATACGAGTACAATGAGTATCACAATGCTGACGTGTTCGTACGATTTTTATGCTTTTGTGATGACTTTCGATATTCTGCTGATGCGGTATAACTCCTGGACAGTTCGACGCTGTTGAAAACCACTGGTCCCACGGCGGAGAAAGGTACACATCACGAAACCGTGTCGATATCTCGATTTCGCCTAGATCGACCATCCATTCTGACAGGCAAATGGAGGCAATCACGTGAAACTGGTGGTGTGATCGGGCAAGCGACATACGCTCTATGTCGGCCTTGACACGTGAATAGTTGTTCGATTCCCGCAGTAGTTTCTTGTGCTTGTGTACATTACGCTTCATGTGAACGTAGCACGACACGACATGCACGTTTGGCCATTTCCTGACCAACGCTGCATAAATGTACGGCGTATGGTCGATCGATGCTGTGGCAGGAACGAGGTTGGTGTCGAAGAATTCCTCAAACTTCGTGGCGGTCACGTCAAAGAGCTTGAAGTACACCTCTTCGCATTCCGCTCGTACAAATATATACGTCCACGGTAGGAAGCGGTGCCGACAAGAACCACTCGTGTATCGCGTGTACACAGCGCCCAAATCTATCAACGTCCAACCACCTGGTTTGTGTAAGTCATCGATTATGCAAATATCTACAGATTTCACACAATACCAAAGTGAAGCTTGTACGTTCCATCAGTTGCAATGGCCAAACTGTCGCCTTGACGGTCTCTCGCCCATGCAATGTTCCACATGTTTTGCCGGGACGTCACGACTAACCCAGCGTACGAACTTTCGACGCTGTTGCTGGTGAATGTGCCCTCGATAATGTCAAGGACAATCAATTTGTGCCTACCACAACACGTACACAGGTCCACACAAACGTAACTACAACGTTCAACTAACCTGTACGCGTTGTCGAGCTCAATGAATTCTTCGTACACGAATGTTTCTTCGTGATCGAAGAATGACTCCTTGGTTGCGCAGAGATGTGCTTGTCTCCACGTGATCAAATCAGCCAAATTGGAGATTTCCCAGCCTCCACTTTTCTTGCGCCCAATCCATGCTCGACGAGTCTTTATCTGAGTTCTTGTGGGGAGCTTATTCAACACGTCTGGGTTGTCACGGTGTACATGATGTAGCTCAACCTAGGTCGTACATATATTTAAGGCAAGTACAAAGAAAATTTACTTCGAGTTTTTTTGGTGTAAAGCCACATCTCAGGTACCGATCGATTTCAGGGCGAACTTGAGGGTGGATGCCGCTTGAGTCGTCATCTTGTTCGGCTGCATGTTCCAGGCTGGAGTCTTCAAGGTTGGCGTAGGATTGCTCAGCAACAATTCGAAGTTCGTGGGAGCATTCCAAGTGGCTGCAGCAAACATATACGTACACCTTCCTCACGTCTGATGACTTGTAGTTCCGACTGTGCTTATAGCTAACAAAGCGTTAGAGGCTAGCTGTCTGTTCTAGCAATCATACCCGAATGAGGTAGAGATGTTGAGGTAGTCCTTTGCGTCGTGAAAGCTGCCAAACTGCATTACACTTGTTCATTGCTTGCTTGCGTCGTTGTTGGTCACTTCGCTCGGAGACCATGGATGCATCTTCCCAAGCAAGAGCATCACCCACATCGGAACCACTGCTGCTCGCGCTCAACTCCATCGCACTGTAGATTAAGCAATGACGACTGGTACCTTCGTTACTTGTTCCAGTGACGACCCATCATTGCACTAAAGAAAATATAGAACAATAAGCCAACAGACCGAAGTTTTGGGTGAAACCGTTCCTAGGTATCCCTAGGTTTTTCTTACCCTTACTGGAAATATCTGTCTTTCGCATCCCTAGGCATCTCCCTAATTATCCCTAGGCATTCCTAGGAACCTATATGCCGATCAAAACGCATATAGGAGCCCTACGAACCCCTAAACCCCGACTCGTAATCAGAGAAAATTCCTAGGTATCCCAGGCACTAAACTACTGTATCAGAACTAGGGTAATTGCGGTCAGTCCGGTTCACAAAGCAGACCGTTATGCCGATATTACTTTAGACAGGTTTACGTCATAGCGCGAGGTGGTTGGCACCGACGGTGGCACGTCGGTCTTTCACTATGTATGTGGGACTGGTACCACCGACGAGGGCATCCTTCAGCGGTGACACCAGTCCAAGAATCAGTGTGTTTGGCCAAGGAATGGCCGAGGAATAGTTTTTTGCGTTTGCGATGAACGCGACATGTGTCGAGAAGACATAATGTGTACTAGTAGATGGCATACGGAACATTCCCTACCACACTGCTCAGGTTGTTTAACACCTGTTAATACTTGTGATCAATATATCCACGTGTGAATGCTCCACCACGCGCAAATGCTCCTCCATATGTAAGCATACCATTACCACGTGTATGCACACCATTTTTGTAACGGCACGTGAAAATGTACCAAAAACCACGTGCAAATATGCTTTTCCCTTAAAGCGTTGGCTCAGTTGAGATTGTAACTTAACAACTAAAACTTGGCTCGTTGAGATTACAACGCCGACAACTACGATAATCCAATCAACTTTACTATCTCCCACTGTTTGAACATACAAGCAGTACTCCTAGCTGCAACGTTCAAAACCGATGGATGTCAGGAACTCTTGTAGCAGTTGGTACCAAATATATGGCGCCTGTTTGAGTCCGTAGATACTCTTGATCAGTTGTAGACCATATGTTTGTCGTGACCTTTGACATATCCGGGTGCTTGCCCTTGTCCCATGTACAACTCAGTACACGGTGGAATAGCCCAATTTAAAAACGCGGTGTGTACGTCCCTTTGCTTTATGATGCAATCAAAGATAACACCTATGGCTTGAACAAGTCTTAAGGATTCAAAGCGAGCAACTGGAGCATATACATCATCGCAGTCTACTCCGTATTCTTGGTGACAGCCTTGTGCTACAAGACGGGCTTTGAATCTGTCAAGTGTACCATTTGAGTGGTATTTCACAGTAAACACCAAATGGCACGGCAGAGCCTGCCGCCAAGGTGGAAGTTCACACAATTTCCATGTACCATTGTCAATAAGCGAATTGCATTCATCGTCAATTGCTGCAAGCCATTCAGAACTATAATTTCCATACAATGCTTCTTTGAATGGTCGTGAGATTGGGATACGATTTGAATCAATTCGTTGATTGGTGATATATCCAACATTGACATCATGAACTAGTACATTATTTTCCAGTTGTTGTAGTCCAACTTCAAGGAGGTTTAGGGCTTGACTGGAATCGAGGTACTGAACTCGCGGGTGAACGTCAGAAACTATGACCTCGTCACGATGACTTCGAGACGACGCATTATAATTGTAATCAAGGTAATGCGATGGCTTACGCTTAATGCGTACAGGGCGAGGAAGCTGTTGAACAGTGGTGTCCTGGACGAACGAATGACTCCCACTAACACTGGAATCAACAGAACGAGCACGTTTATCATATCATATTGTCGCTGATTTGTATATCGCTCCACATTGTTAGGATACTTTCGTTTACCATCCAATGTAAGTACTGTAGTGTGATAATTTACGTCTATATGATGCTCAACCGGCATGTCTGCCAGTGCACAGGATGGAATAGCGATATCCACAAACGAGTCAGGATGTACGTCATCGGGTGACACAAAATTAGATTCACTGTGACAACCAATACAGTTGTATCATGTCTTTCTGGTAGTTGAAGCAGGTCAACAGCACGAAGTTTAGTTATAGTCAATGAAGTTGCCACGTCAGCGAATGCTTCTCTGTAATCGCTCGCAGATGGCTCCCCAAGGTCTGATATTACTCACGTCAGGTAATTCTCAAGTCTGTGAGATGTTGTCCTATTTTGAAGGTACGTGGCATACATAAGTACCTCAGACACCATTTTGACGGCATGTCAGCTTCTAATAGCATGCACCTGACCTTGCAAAACTTGCTTTGATGGTCTCACTCAACAGAGCCATTCTCGTCCGATGAGTATCGATTTGACTTCTCGTATTTTACTCCGAGTGATTCGTTGTTAAACTCAGTCCCACCATCAGTACGCACTCGACGTACGATACTGTCACACCGTCGCTGGACGAGTTTCACGAATTCTTTGATACTAGTTGGAATGATGTCCTTTGTTGAGTGAAAGGTAGCCCATCGATACGACGTCGCATCACAACAATTAAACAGTAGTACCTAATCTATCCATGTGTACATACCTTCCAGTTTGTTTAAGTAAGGGGGCCACAAGTGTCCATGTGAAGTGAACCAAGCGGGTCGGGATGCCCACTGCCGACTAACCCTTTGTACGACATTCGACGATGCTTTGCACGGATACATGTCCTGCAGAAAATACGTAATCCACAAATGTCCTAAACGAATATGCCATTCTCTCTGATTAACTCCATGGCTCGTTGTTTTTAATGGATAACTGTGACTGGTACTGGGGACCGCATTACTTGAGCGCACCGAATTTGACGCTGGGTGTCAGTCCAACTTTTGACATAGCACCATTTATCGAGGTGCTGATGAACTGAAGCTTGCAGTTTGAAAAGACATACTTGTACGTTGCACAGGCACTATCAACAATATAGTAGCCCGAACGCTTCAGAGCATTTCCGCTCAGGATATTTGCCGTTGCGCCTGGCACGTTGGCAACACTTTGAAATGCATACTGGACTACACCATTTGGAGACTCAAGCCACAACTTCGCAACTCCCATGTGTGTATTAACGAGTTTATGACCACCAGCAAATGCAAATGCGAATCCAGAATGCATTGTTAGATTGGTTAGAAAACTAACGTCACCAATCAAGTGGTGACCGCAACCACCATCGAGTGCCCACTCACGACTATTAATTTCACGATGAGTTAGTAAATTCGGACACTGTAATTTTAATACCTGATCCATCTTTACGGATAGATCACGCATGGATGCCGCGATCGTCTCGACACGAGGAATTGATGTCGTGTCCACAGCCAACGCGGGCGAGTACGACAGCATGTCGCTGTAATCGGGGCACGAAAACATGCCGTCCTTAGATATGTCCGGCAGGTCAAATTCTTGACGGCTTGGAGGATAATAAAATATTGCCACATAAGAATTGCTGAGGCCCACATAGGAATTGCTGAGAGCCGCATAAGAATTGCTGAATCGCACATAGTTATTGCTGAAGAACACTTCAAATTTGCTGAATTGAATATACAGTTTGTTACACAACGAGATCCTCTTCGGCAGGCAGTGCGTTATGAGAATTTCTGGACACACTATTATCAATGTGATTGTTTATTAAACTCACATGTGGACTCACATGTGGAGGAAGGGTAGGGAAATCACGAAATACCTTAAACTTATCGACGGCCCTATGACCAACCACTGAATGATGGCACGAAGCGGGCGCGAATCAGGATGTAGTGAACTGTACTGCATGCTACCAGACTCCCACAGCAACTATGCCGGCTTGTGGCGTAGACTGACACACCCAGCCTACGCCAAAAGCCGCCAAAGTTCCACATATATCGTGCTCCGTGCTGCTTCTGTAAAATACATATTTTCTATAGTCGTGACATATCTACTGCCTAGATAAAAAAAGAACCTTGCTTGCGGTACTAACGGATGGCTGAATGCGCAAGGGGATCGATCACTTACATACCCATGGACCCACTGAGCAGTGTGTGTGAGGTGGAAAATTGAAGAATGACGACATTGAAATATGTGGTTGGCCGTGACATATATCGATTGCAACCCCTACATCGTCTATAACCCCCCAAGGCCTTATATCCCCTCCACAACGATTCTGCTTGTGGCTTAACTACATGAGCACATAATAACCACTTACGAGGTTAAAACCACCATTCACGACATTATGACTAGCTCATAGTGTATGTAGATCGCCAGAATAGTTGCGACTGCAACCCCTGCACCTCATCAGCCCTTGTGTATCCCCCCTTCCCCTCACAATATTCGACTTGTAGCATCCCCCAAGCCAAATTGCCTAGCACACTCTCTATTGTTCTCAACGCTCACTCGAATTTACAATTAGTACTGTCAAGGCGTTTTGGCCAAAATATGCTGTCCTCGTTTCGATAAATTTAGGATAGTTCTAACGTTACATTGAAGATTAGTATTTCTTGGAGTAGCAAATTGACAAAAACTACCCAACAGTTACTAAATAAGTTTCATGTGTGTTTCTGAGGAACGAAATATCGTTCAACCAACGTTCCCAAATGAACTTCATACTATTGCAATATTGACCAGTTGAACGAGCTATTGTGCTGCCTCAGATTAACTCTCCAGCCAGAGTTATTGACATATACGTTCATTCCTATCGTACGCATTTATATTCTACTGTATTCCTTGCCACCATCCGATTATTGATTACCCCGGATACGCAGTGTACGTACCAACGATTCAGATGTAGTTCAATTCCAAACATTTTAAGTACCTTGATGCGCAGTCGCATCACTCGAGATTCAACCTCAACACATGAGTTGACAGGTGGCGTCTGTTCTATAGTTTTCAGCAAAATTTATGTGGCAGGAATGTAAACTCGGCTTGGAGGGGATCCAGGCAACGCCACTTCTTCACGCGTCACGACGGCGCCGCATGCCACTTCGGTGCGAACATCGCGCCCCTTGGGCACCGCATCTTCGGTTTACCGCGGTTCTTCCAAAATCGAACTTCGCGCCCAGCCACGCCGAAAGTCGTCCTGGTGCTTGGGGCAATCCCACTATATATAGTCCACGCCGCCTACGTTGCATTTGCCTTCACAGAAGCACTTCCGGCTCTTTGGAGTTGCCTTGTAAAACTCATTTCCGGTGTCATGGCGCTTGCCTTGATTGGCTAATTTCCTGATGATTTTCGTTTCTCATGGTTCTGATTGGAGGAAAAGTTGGCATTGCTAACAGGAATATCCGGTCGTGGAATTTGACCTCCCATGGTCATGTTTCTTCTTTTGACCATAAACTCCAACAAGTTTAGCCTCTGCATCAGCTAGGTTAAAAGACCCATCGTACTTGATTTGTGCACCGTACAACTGAGAGGGTTGTACATTCAATGCCATGTAAATGATCAAGTCATCAGTCACATTGTCGTGACCAAGGTGTTAACGAGATTGGGCATTGATCAGGTTCTTGAGGGACTTCATCTCATCAAACCATGACTGGATGTTGTCGAAAGGTTTTTGAGCCGTTTTAATTAATTGACCCATATATCCAGTAGAAGCGAACCTATTGCTCTGTTCTCTTCCTATTGTACAAGTGCCACCGGTCATGCGCTTCATTGCTAGTCGAGATAATCGGCGGCTCGCAAAGCAACCAGTCCTCGTATTTGATTTGAGGCCCAGACAGTGATTTTGGTTCTTTTAAGTAGTTACCAACCATCTCAAGAGTCATTCCCTCCAGGTTGCTAACAACGCTTTGGGACCACACACAACCCCAATACACATGTTCCATTTTACGAGTTTCCCCTGCACACGTCCGGATACGAGAATAATTTAGAGATCTCACCCTTCGGTTTGATGATCATGCCGTCCATGACTACAGTAATTGATGGTTGTCCAAGTTGCGCCTGTATATTGATTGTTCAATGACGTAGCCTTGACATAAATATGGACAATCTGGTATTGTGGATATGTATTGTTATTGTAGATACGTAAACAATAATTGATTTGCCGATGCATCATTGATTTGCCGAACTTCTTGCCCAATAGAATGTCTGAATTGGTAGGATTGGATAAAACTAGTGACCGCAACAATGAAACCCTTAATGAGTTAATAATATTCCAGCAATTATGTTATAGAGTTTCAACCTTATTTGGAGGTACGTTAAACCTATGATATTATGTATTACTTTATAAACGAATACCCACAAACATGGCCTTGACAGCACGGGGATCGAGCTTGAATGATTGCGCGGCACGTTGAATGTGCACAAACGCGGAGCAACCAAAGGTTTTGATGTGACCCAAAGGTGGGTGTCGTTTAAAGACGACATGGTAGGGGGAAACACCTTTGTTGGATGCCGAAGGGGGGATGTTGATAAGCCATGAGGCATAGTCAAGGGCAAGAGCCCATAGAAACTTGGACAGAGCCCTTTCAATGAGCATAGATCGCACCTTTTGGACAACAATGCCGATACGGCGTTCGGCAACAGATTTTTGCTGGGGGGAGTAGGCGTTAGAGAAAGCCACGCGTACTTGGTCTTGACGATGCGCCCATCATCCACGCGTACTTGGTCTTGATGATGGGCGCATCGTCAAGACCAAGTACAACACTCGCGTGGCTTTCTTTTGCGTTGTCGCTTTGAAGGGTGCCGATGTCCATCGGTGATGAGTGGCGCAGCTCACAAACATCAAGTTTAAAGATGGATATCGCGTCAGTACGAAATAACTCATAGGTCTCATAGAGATCTTTGCGAAAATGCATGGGATACGTCCACATAAAGCGGGAGTAGTCATCGATGAAAACGACAAAGTAGGCAGCGCCACCCGCCGACAGAATAGGGCTTGGGCCCCAAACATCAGAATGTACGAGGGCTAGGTACAGTAGGAGGTCGCGCGGAAGACCGCAGATGAGTCAAAAGGACTGCGCTTGGACTTGGCATAAGCACAAGTCTCACAGAGTTGACCGCGAAGGTGCTTGGTCTTGAAGAGCATAATCTCGGGATTTATCTTTGTCATTTGGTTGAAGGCATCAACGCCTGGATGGCCGAGACGGTGGTGCCATAGACGCGCAAGTCTAGCTGCAGAGAGCTTGGAGTCAGCCACGAGGCTAATAAGGCAGTCGGTTGGAACAGTAGTGGTGTCATAGACAGGTGTCGGAGTGTGTGAACCAAGCATAGCCTGGGCTACACTCATGGAGACAGAGTCTGGAGTGATTCGGCAGAACGGTTTTGACTTGGAGACCATAGATGGTCGATGTATGATTGGCGTTTAGCGCAACACAGACGAATATGCAAACATGTGCAATTGATTAAAGTGGAAAATCCACTGTAGTTCGAAGAGAACTTCCGCAGAGCGGTTTCAAAGGTGGCCACCATGGCAGTAAGCATAGCCATTTGGCCCTGATGGATATACTCGCCACGGTGCGGATCGATAGAGGGCTGGCAGGGAGAGGGGTATAGACCCATGGCATTGTTAGGTGCACGAAGCACATCACCAAGAGTGGTGGTCATTTCGCACATGTCGCGAGCCGTAAAACGGACTAAGATGCCTTCATCGGTCGCTTGGCGAACCGAGAACAAGTTGAACTGTAGTTCAGGGCAATGTAGACCAAAGATGAGGTGTAGAGCGCATGGACGAATATCGTCAGCTTGGCCACGGGACGACATATCCACGGCCAATGAAAGAGGACCATAGCCAAGGACGGGAAGTAGGGCACCGTTCCCGACTGTAAGAGACAGTGCGGAAGGGACATAATTTGAGAAATAATATCGGTTTGGGGTGCATGAGGCAGAGGCGCCGGAGTCAACAATTGAATGTTCTAGCAGAGCGGGAAAGTCATTTGGACGATAAGTCACCGACATGGGCGGGACACCAGGGTCGCTTTTAGTCGCGTAGGTCCGCATGAAGGGCTAAAATGCCTTGTCCACCAACAACTTAGAATGGAGGATGGGGACGGACACCGTCCACACATCTTGAGGGCAGTTGGAGAACCACCTTGATCGGTGTCTCTGACGCCGTGGTAATAATGTCACTGCGAGTGGCCGAGAAGGCACTGGGTGGGAACAGTGGAAGAGCGGTCATGCAAAGATATCGCAGAGTGGGGGCAGAGCCCGGAACACCTTTGGTAGAACCGATGGTGGGTTGGGACGCTGGAGGACCCGGTTGAGAGTGGAGGGAGGCACAAAGTGGTGGGATGAGATGTGGGTGTTGGCAAAGCCATTGAAGCAATTGCCTTCATGAATAAATGGACGAGCGGCTGCACGAGCAGCAATGCCAGCCTGGTGATTACGACCTCCACGAAGAGTGCGGCCGTAGCCTTGGTCGCTGTTTTTGTCACGGCTGTTGCCCCGACTGGTGTTCCACCTGTCATTTCCAGAACCACTAGAGGAACTTGGTCCCCATCCATGGTGGCTATTATAGCCCTGGTTGCCACTAGGCCCTTCGCGATCATCGCGGTCATCAAGAGGACGTTGGATAGGACGCGACGGAGCGACATAATCGCGTTTGCGCTTCTTTTGGGAGGCATAGCCATGTTTGTCAAAGACGGCGCGGTCAAAACCAGAACGCATAGTGTTGCGGGCATAGTCCGACTTGAGGGTAGGACACGCAGGAAGTGTATGATTTGCAACGCCGCAGTAGAAACAGGACTTGCCGGGGTGGTTCACACAATCACGGTGAGCATAGCGCGGAGTGGTAAGCTCGTTCATAACATGAACAGAGCCATCGGCTTGCGTAATCGCTTGGGGTGGTGGAGCAGGGGCCGCAACCGCATGTGTGACAGCTGCAAGCTGGGTTTGTGTTTGAAGGGTAGCGGTAAAGCCGTTGTCACCCAGAGCAGACGCTCGTTGGTGGCGGTTCGTAATAATGCGCCGAAGAGACGCTCAAACATCAGCAACGACAACGGACTGGTTGACGGTGCGCGCGGTGGCCACAGAGTTGGTCACGACTTCCCGCAATTCCTTGTCACCAATGGAGGTGTCGGACATCGCGTACAGAGTGTAGTAATTCCAGATATGGTTGTGATAGTCAACAGACGAAATTGCCGATGGATCCAGAGGATTGAACGACGGCGGCGTCATAGACACCTGGTAGCGTTTGACAAGGTCAATGCGTTCCATGGATAGAGTGTCGATACTACTCTCATCGGTGAACTTGAGAGTGCGCAGATAGCTGGCAATGACGGTGGGGTTGTTGTCCATGGGGTTGGACTCGAAACGAGTCTTGATGTGCTCAAAGAGCTCGAACGGACACGTAGTGGACTGATAGAGGCGGCGTAGGTTGATAGAGATGGCTGAAACCAACAAGGTCTGCAGAGCGTTGATTCGGAAGTTTCTTGGTCGCCTCACGGGCAATGACATCACGTTGGATGGCAGTCGTGTGCGCCTTGATCTCAGCGAGACGCGCATCGCGATCAGTCGCCGACAGAGTCGGGTCAATAACATAGAGCTCAGAGTGCTTGAATTGATCGAGCACGAGGTACTTTTTGCTGATGTTGAGCGCATCGATGCGATTTCCTTGAGGGACATAGTCCGGCGTAGAGTAGAACTCAGCAAGGTCACGGGAGGTCGCTTGGGACAAGAAGTCCGTCTTCCACAAGGTGTAGGCCAGAGGCCGGAGGTCATCCTGTGGGGTGCCCACGAAGGGCTGCACAGAGGAAGGGAGGAGGCTCATAACCTGTCAAGAGGGACGATGAAGGGGGTAGCACTACGACGAAGCCACTTGTGTGGTCGAGGACAAAACCAAAAGTAATCATTAACGGACTGCTTAGCTGACCTATGATTGGGCAGAAACAGTCCGGCTTCTACAGAGAAAGAACACCGGATAATTCCGAATGACCGGATATTATCCGTAAGTATCCGAACCTCGGCGAAAAAGGCCAAAGCAAGTACAGCCAAAGTGCCCCTTCTTGACACACCCACCGGAAATATCAGCCAAATCAGAAATTCTGACTGGAGAAACCTTTACACAATCATAACCAAAGTAGCCAGAACAATCAAAGCCATTCCCTCGCTTCACGATTCAGCGTGATGTAGATCACATAAAACTCGCGTCCACTTGAATATTCCGATAGAAATATTGGATCATCTAATATGCTTTTACTACATAATCTAATTATCAGTTTACACGAATAACTTCACAGCTAAATTACTGTTAGTCACTACTAGTATATACACATAGTAATTGTGCATTGTTGAAAGTGGTTCAAATCTACGATTTCAAAACTTCACTGGAGTATAACAAGTCGACCCATCAATGGTCGCCTGTGTAGAGCCCTGAACTTAAAAACATCAGCATGCAATCATAATCCGTTTAATTCATATTTTTTGGGGTTTATTCGAAAAGCGAATCGTTTCCTATTCAAAAATACTTTGTTTCACTGTACAATAAGAAAAATCGACTGAAAACTTCGAAAATGAAACTCAAGAAAAACTCGGTCCATCAATGGTCGGTCATATTACTCTTGAAGTATGGTCCTAACGTTTCATATGTTGTATTCGGAGTGACCACATACAAATTTCAAGTAATTGAATCCTACTTTCTTACAACAATTCGAAAATGACTAAGTTCAGATGAAAGATCCGACCTTAATGCTTCCACTCCGACAGTGGATTTTCCCTTATATTTCGAAGTATTTTCTTCCAGTGTAGTACTGTACTAGTGTATATGGAAAATACCATCCCAACACTCGCAGCATGTACGACACGAGGATTACACAAGAGGCTGCGGGAAATCGCGAAAACCCATTTGGCCTGGGCAATTATGTAAGCGTATAAAATTTGGTAGGTTGACTTTCAAACGACAATAGAATATTCTTGACAGTTAACAAAATGCGAACATGTGTATACATTTTGTAAACTGACACGATGGATTTTGACTCGATTTGAAGGTATTTCTATTCCACAATCTCAACGTTTCGTTCTCGTATACGAGCCAAAGCGATATGAAATTCAAGGAGTTTTAGGTTGTTTTTTAGGTTGAAGATTGACGAAACCGACGAAACTTCAATGTTTGATGTGCGATTTCACATAGTTCATAATTCTGATTACATATTCGTTGAAAACTTGGTGAGAGGTCTATGGAAAAATTTCGAAGGATTTGGACTAAGTTTGCTGTTAGGTAGTTTTTTTAGGTCAAAGTACTGAATTTTCAGTTTACATTCGATTCTTTTTATATTCATCCTTTCATCCTTTTAATTAAGACATGGCCAAATTTTCATTCAAAAATATTTTACGTTTTGTGGGTTTTGCCTAGGCGAAACTGGTTTTCGAGATTTCCCGCAGCTTTCTGCTTAGAAAACTACTGTAAGTGAGATGATCCTTTGGACGTGGCATGGCCAACCGTCCTACACCTTTTCAAAATTGAGATGGATGCGATGTCGCAACGGTTCTTAAATCCAGGTAATAGACCCTCAACGATTGTTTCGTGACCATCATTTTCTCTTACAACAATGTATTGACGCTATTTAGGAGGGTTGGTAATTGTTTCGCAACTTGCCAACTAATGGTAATTAGTCCCAACTCTCATTTCACACCAACTATTTCCCAAAAACTTGACCCCTAAACCCAGCTCATAAAAACCACCCCATGTATTTACTACAAAACCTGGCGCTAAATAGGAAGTATACTTTTTGAAGGAATTGGTAATGATATTTTTTTTCGTTCGAGTCCATCTTTTCACGTTTTAATATTATACTTCTTTTTTTAATATAATAATAAAAAAAATCGGTAAACCCCTTTTACCTCGGAATACCACCTTTGATCTCAAATAACCCCAAGGAAAACCCTAAAACGATGCTATGGTCATAAGCATTTCCCATAATGTTCCTTTAACACTGTGAGATGGGATATGCTCTTACGAATAGACATATTCAAAATAGTATACAGGTAAGTGAAAGGGGAACTTTCATGTAGTTTTCAGAATTAACATGAACAAATCAAAATCGATTTAGGGTGCGTCTGGTAACATTTCAAAAATACTATTCCATTTTCGCAAAATGGGATTAACCAAAATGCCATTTTCAAAATAGAGGTAAAATGCCCATTTTGTAATACCTTATGGGGGTTTGGACCTCTTCAACGAGTAAATCCCACGTGGAATTATGGGATTTGGGTTAAAACCCTTCAAGCAAGACATGTTTCAATTTTGATCAGATTTGTTGAATTCGGCCCCCAAATGACGTTTAGGGTATGTTCAGTGGATTTCTCGAGATTTGCGCATATTTGGAACTCGTGCATATCTTGATTTGCAAAAAAAGATATTTGAAATTGTTGGCATTGACAGTGGTCGACAGCTGTGAGGGGGCCTTTGGGAATAATTATTGCTGCATAAATGCTTAGCGATAAATAGTTAATATGAACATTGTAGTTCACAGGCCAAGCTACAAAGAAAATCTGAGAAAAATCCTTTCATAATCGATACAATTTATCAGAAGCCCCCTCACAGCTGTCGACTACTGTGAACAAAATTCAACAAAAGAAAAATTAACACCTTCAGTATGAATATACCGCAACAAGTAGTAATGTAACGAAGGACTTTTGTAATATTCACTGGCCTTGGAAACCACGCGTCAATTCCACTTCATGGTAAGACCATCAAAGGTAGACAAGTCCGCGAAGTGGTCGGACGAACTCGACGCCGAGTTTGTGGTCTTGTATGCCGAAGCAGCAGCAAAGAGCGTATACGTTGCAAGTGGTGGAAAGCAGCTCAAATCCAAGGGATGGTCCGATCTCCTCGTGCCCCTTGGTGACCATGGCAACATAAAAAATACGAACCAACTACAGTCAAGATAGAAGAGGCTGAAGGAAGATTACGTTGATTACAAATGGCTCATGCTGAAGTTTTCGGGGGACGGCTTGGTTGGCGTGTCTGAAGATACGTGGGGTGAGCTGGACAAGCACCCAAGAAGCATGCCGTTGTCGCGCTTCCAGGAACGGCCATTTCTCCACTATGATGCTATCGCAGAGATAGTAGGTGACGCGATGGCAACTGGGGAGTACATTCGTGGAATGCCCACGGCTGGAGCTGAGGTGGCTGCTTCGGGGGTCTTGGACACGTCGGAACCGGATGTGTTATCGTTGTCCGCTACCCAGAAGCGCAGGAAACTAATCAATGACAGCATGAAGCAAACGCGCATAAAAAGAGATGAAGCGTCGGCTGCGTCATTGGCGATCAAGCAAAGGAATAGTGACACGCTGGCATCGATGTGCGCCACGATGCAGATGATGACGAAGATCTTGGCAGCTAAAACCAAAATCCAGCACTTACTTGATAACGATGAATAGATTATATTCTTCGAATTGTTTGTATTCTGATCCAAATATTACCTAACGTAAACGGCCAATTGTTGCCCTCATTTCGACCCCTTAGCTTTTTGGCCTTATCTCATAGGCTAAGCAAAATTACAAAACTCTGAAGTTATCCAGTTGTAGAGGAAAGAACGCTCTATCCAGTCGTTCAAATTGCTCGTAAATTGGAGTATTTTTGACGTAGTTATGCTGAAGCAAACACAAAAGTTTTGAAATATGCCGGACCAGTTGTTTGCCCTCTTTAAACTTGACTTCAGTAGGGTTTGAAGGGTGAAGAGAGGGTTGGACAATATTTTTAATATGAGCTCAAAACAATTGCCAAAGCTAATATACACCTACTTTGTAATATCTTACAGGTAATTATATTAAGGAGAAACCATTGACCAATAGCACGGCGTTTGGGAACGATGCTGCCGGTGTCTCTCATCTTCTTGAGCGTACGGTATGGCACATTGTAGATGCGACTGAGATCTGTTTGTCGCTCTCCTTGCAACGCGCGCTAGGTTGCTTCGACGAGCTGCTGATGTGTGTAGCCCGTCATGAGTGAAATTGCAGATGTGTTTGACAGTGTGAATTCCACTCGATAAATTGTGCGAGTTTCGCGCCGAATAGTACATCAGCCAATCACGGCTGATTTAGTGCAGCGTAGGTATTTGATTGGGTATAATTAAAATACTTGACATTGAAAACTGAAAGAGGGCAAGAATTGGTCCGAGGGCAAGAATTGGCCGTTTACGTTAGTGTGGTCGTGTGGGTACGAGTGGGTACGAGTGGGGACGTGTGGGGAAGCAGCATTGAATATCACAATTAATCTTGGAAAAAACACATCACCTTCGCGAATGGCAGTGGATTGATAAATACCATGTTAAATTCCGTGACACGTCCAAATTTCCAAAATATTAGAAGTCTAATTGGGTTGGGGCCAACTCATTAGTTGGTGCTAATAAACTAATATCCGGTAGCTGGGATCGAACTCGAGGACAATTCCAATGACTGAAACTCTTGTTTTGCATACACTTTCAGTCTGTGGATACCTCCGCGATTTAATCGTGGTGCAATGGATAAGCTGGTGAAATGCTGGATGACTGTTGCAAGTAGCACTTTCAGTGTAAGGGGTGAAGGATTAGCATGGGGCCCGAAAGGGCAGTGCGCTTTTTTAGAACATTGACAGTGAATTTGTTTCTTTAATTCATCTTATTATAAAGAAGTGTAGTGTAAAATATACATCGAAGAAATCATGTGCAAATTGTTAATAGAATTCTAGCTCATATAGGTACTCTGCGTAAGCTTCCCACATTGCGTTCGCAATTGCCTCCCTCCAGCTTTCTTGTGGGTGGTTTATTGTTTGGAGTGCGTCTTAATGCAAATCAAAGACGTCATCTTGGTTCGTCCGCACCACAAGGTCCGAAATGTCATCAATGTGCCATGGATTGCAGGCAATACACAAATTGTGTAATGCAGCGCAAACACATCAATCGAGTATTCAAGCTGCAACCGCAAGTTGCTTGAGAGTACTTTCCACTTGATCTTCGGCACGCCAAACGCACGCTCCACGACAATGCGGGCCTTGGAGTGTCTGTAGTTGCAACATTCCTTGGCAGTCTTGGGTCTGCCGTCCGTATTCGCTGCCCAATCGGGGAGATGATAACGTTGGTTTCTCTATGGCATCAGCAGCTCCTTGGCCAAACGGTACCCAGCATCACCAAAGTAAAAGTAACCGCCAAGTACGCTTCCTTCAAACTCCGTCTGGCTGTATATAAAGCTGTCAGATGAGCAGCCTTCACCACCCGCAAAGACAGCGACGAATCTTCCCAACTCACCGACATCACCTAATACGTTCGTCGATGTGTGACCCTTGCGATTTCGGAATCGATCTTGCATCTCCGCAGACACCGCAATGGAGATGTAGGTACCATCCAACGCACCACGACACTTGTGGACGAAATGCTTCACAGCTGGAGCGCACGCGGTCAGGTTCATACGGATCCGAACCATAGAATCCGCCGTCAACCAAGCCTTTGGTTATTGCGCGCTCACCAAGCTGTCGATAGTAGGCCAACGTAACGTGGTTGTGGTCTTGGAAGAACTGCACTTGACTCCGCACCGACACGCGGCTTGCGAGTCATTGTAGTGTAACCAGCAGGACAAGCCGTGCATCCAAAGTCGTCAGCAGGTGGGGTTTTGAAAGCAGAACAATCAACGCGACGACATCTTTTGACACCCGGAACTGCTCGAGGTACAGTACGTTGCTCCCGTGCGGAAGCTCATCTTGAACGTCGAGGAAATCCATGTGCCAGTGTACTGGCCGAATAAACATTTGTTGCGGCTGTTGGACAAACTCCGTATCGTCAACTTCCATCGTGCATGCCGCGATAGCTGTTGACATAGCTTGTAACCTGATTCCGTCTTCGTCGTCCATTCTTTTTGTAACACCATTCACTGTATAAAGAGGTTCTTCCTACGACGATGGATTTTCCTCTACATGAAATATTGGCCAAAAACATCCAGCTCCAGACATTGATATTTTTGCCAGATAATTGGCAGATAATTGGCTTGGGAATATCTGGGATATTAAAATATGGTGTGTTCACACTCTCAGTAGAACTTCGAAATATCCGGATATATGCTGTACTGAATATTGCACCATTAACGTTACCTCTTTTTTCTCACGATTACTGTTAGAAAAAGCTATCGAGGACAGAGGAACTGTTGCTATCTGGCCATTTTGGCGACAAATTTGAACTGATAGTGAGACTGAAATATGCTTACTGATGAATATGATCAATATTCCGACCTCACTTAGTATTTGTATGCTCTAATTTTGGCCAACGAATCGTCTATATAACCTATTTCTACCTATCACATTGTAGTAGAACTTATCCTACACCAGTTTGACTAATCAAAATCCTTTTGGGGTAGGCCCAGTATAATTCTGTCGGTTCCGACACATTCGGACGAACCTTGTCGGGATGGAATCTGAAATATCCTGGCCTCACATACAAATTCAAATGCAGCGATCGTTCACCAAATGGCACGACATATTCCGATACTTCGGTAGCTACTCCTAATCAGGTTTGCTAAATATAGGAATGCAATATCCGTCATAAGGAGGCCGCTGCTCGTTGTAGTCATGTTTACACGTGAGCAAGTGGCATTGCACCTTACAGTTAGTTTATGTTACCCTCACCATACCTACGAAAGACTTACCCTACGGACGCAGTAGGTCTTCATTCTAGGTGTATATGTGAGCCCTTACGCTTTCACTGTACCCTTCCTACTTAGGAGTATCCAATAGAATCGTTGTCGGAATGGGGTATATCTTGTCGGAATACATGTATTCATGCTATAGTTTGGTAGGGCCTGTTCAAAGTACTACTTTTAGCAATTGAAAAAGTGGTTCCAAGCACAGTTTCCTACTTTTTTACCTCTGTGATTTTTTACTCAGCTCACTATACCAAAAATAGAAAGAGGACTTTACATAGCATTTCACTAGAGTTGGGCTCATATTGTCCTTTTACCCAAAATTTGGACTTTTGTGCTTGTGGTGATTGGTATTACACTAATTGAAGTATCACACTAATTTGAGTTGATGGTGGTTTCCTGCAATCTGATTGGCTAAATCCTTCTGCCGATTCTTCTGTACGTTTATTTGGTTGTGTCAATTCATTCTCCGTGTCGCTCCAGTTTAGAATAAACACAACAATACACAGAACGATGACAGGTGCCCAGGCCGAGCTACAATAGTCGGACATCCTACGTAGTACACTGACAACAGTTTATATTTTTCTTCATTACTAGAAATATTTAGAGTGTAAGCGAAAGTGCCACAATCCCGACGGCAGCGGCTACAGAGGGCAACGCCAATGGGTCGCCAGAAGACGCAGCAGGACTGGTTGTCGTGTTCGAGGCTGCAGTGGAAGTAGTAGGTGTAGTAGTTGTAGTAGGCGTGCCAGACACGGCAGTTGTGTTGGGAGCTGCGGTGGTGGAGAGAGCGGCAGTGGTAGAGGGAGCAGCAGTGGTGGAGGAAGCGGAAGTGGTGGAGGGAGCAGCAGTGGTGGAGGGAGCAGCAGTGGTGGAGGGAGCAGCAGTGGTGGAGGGGGCGGCGGTGGAGGGGTCGGGGGACACGGACGGCAACGTCAGCGGCTTACCGTCCACCACGACCGTATTGGATAGTGTCACGCACTTCAACTCGGGAGTGCCGTCGTCCACCCCCGTCACGGTCGCACTGAAGCCCTTCTCTCCACCCAACAAACGCGCGTTTTCCGCGTAGTTCTTGGCCAACGCGGAGCCGGCCACACCCAACTGGTACTTGACCGTGTACAGGTTGGAGCCGTTCTCGGGAGGCGCCAGCAACGTGTACAACGAGTCCACGCACGGCTCGAGGTCCACGAGGCAGTGGATTGAGTGCACTTCAGGGCCCTCGAGTGTCTTTACGGTCGGGTTGTCCATAAGGTTCCCCAAATCGATGCAGTAGTTGTCCATCACGAACCCTGTCGCGGTGACGGTTTTGCCCTCGGCCGAACAGGTTTGGGCGAACGCGCCAGATGTCACAGACAATACAACAAGGAACGACGCAAGGAGGAAGCTGGAAGTTTGCATAGTTGGTTGAATTGATAAATGGGAGTTTCAAGGCTGGCTTGGAAGGACGGACACTTTACGTCGTCTGATGAGACAAACTGTTTCCTCTTCAACAGACTCCCCATTATAAATCATGTATCTTTCCGCCGAGTTCCAAGTTCGGCGTTTGAATTCAATCAAAGTGTTGAATGAAGTTATGTTCAGTAAGGTACTTACTGTTAGTAAAATGAAATATTAGTATAATAATGAAATCGTTGGATTATGCCCGGCCGAATGGTCTGTACTGTACGTATAGTAAGCAAAAGCGACCAGTCGTCACCTGTGTGACAATGCCAGTTGTGCTTACTCCGAAGTAGTAATGATAATCCAAAACAATTAACCGAAGTAAGTTGGTAGTTTTCTTTAACAGAAAAATTGACCAAACTGGACGGATTTGATTGAAATAGACCAATCAAACCAAGGCGAATAATCTTATGCGACAATCCATTGGCGATAGAAAGGATTGAAGGCTTCATACTTTATCCCACATTAAATTTCTGATTATCTCCCACTTCGAAAGTGGTAGTAACAGTAAGGGACCGTCTGGCAACCTGAAATATTACTGGTACTCGAGTACAATATTTTGGCCCAAAACGCCACTTTGTGGCCGAATCCAACAAATCTGATAAAATTGAAACTTTTTATCCCGAATCCAATAATTCCTAGTGGGATTTACTCCTTGAGGTGGTCCAAAAGGCCATTTTACAAAACTTTGGCCGTACCGTGTAATAGATGTCCTTCCAGGTGGTTATCTCCTTCCAGGTTCCTGTATGTATTCATATTTTGATGGAGACCATGGACAATAAATTTAACAGGATAACCTTGCGCGGCAATATATCCTCTAATTATTAAATACCCTCTATATTCTAATACATGTATTCATATGGGAGGTTTATTGCGCGCGCGATTGTTTTAGGCGTGTGGGAACCAGTCACGTCATTCTACTCCTTTCAAAATGGATGTCACTCCACCGGCAAGGCCTCCTGGTCGACCACGTCTGAAGGAGGGCCCCAAGAAGCCTCCCAAGAAGTTTCGCAACGTGAACGTCTCGTTCAAGAAGAAGCAAGCTGTTATAGATTGTTTCGACGAGATGGGTATGGCAGCCGCCCTCCTGAAGCACTTTCCTCACCTGCGGGGCCCTCCAATCGACACAACTCGAAAGAAGGTATACACTTGGCTCAAGCAACGTGCTCATCGGGTTGTACTCATCGGGGTGGACTTGCTTCATTGCCACTTTGCTGACCGCCCGGACCGTGCGACGAAGAAAGTGTTATTGCTTTGGGACGACATTTCTGCACATTTCACCGACCAGGTGGTTGCCTGTGCTGCGGAGTTAAATGTCGTGCTGGAGAAGATCCCTCCCCGGTTTACATGGATGTGCCAACCAGAAGATGTGGCCTGGATTCGGCCTATGAAGTCTCAACTACGGAAGATGTGGATCGACAGTATTCGGCGCCAAGTCAAGAACAGCAAGTCTCAGAACTCGACGTTCAAGCTGCAAGCTTCGAAGCATCCAACACTGGTGCAATGGATTACAGACGCGTGGTTTGGATTTTCGGAAGCCATCATCACCAACGGGTTTGCGGAATACAAGATTGTCCATCAAGATTAAGCAGTGGACGAAACTGTCGAAACTACGGTTCGTGCCGATATATTATCGGAACTCGTTGCGAATTCCGCTGTGGATGACACGATTGATCCGACGGACGATATAGAAAGTACTACTAATCATGAATTGTAATTCTGGTTTTAAAATGTATTGAAGTTTGTATTTACTGAACTGAAAATTAATACTGTAAATCTAGAATACCTTTACTAGAATGACGTGCTTGTTGTATTTTCATTGTACTTGAATTTTGTATACCTGGAAGGAGATATTTATATTAACACCCAAATGTCGTTGGGCTGTGAAATATCACCTACCTGGAAGGACATCTATTACACGGTACTCCGAGTACTTGCTTTGGACTTTTCGCCGAGGGTCGGTCACTTACGGATAATATCCGGCCACCCGGAATTATCCGGAGTTCTTTTTCTGTAGAAGCCGGACTGTTTCTGCCCAATCATAGGTCAGCTAAGCAGTCCGATAATGATTTACTTTTGGTTTTGTCCTCGACCACACAAGTCTTCTTCGTCGTCGTTCTTCCTCAGTGCTACCCCCTTCATCGTCCCTCTTGACAGGGTGCACCGAAATGTCTTACTGGATCATTGCATTGGAAAATTCCCATTTGCAAAATCACTCGAAGTTACTGTACTACACAGAACTCAAATATCCTACCTAATAACAGGCTCAAAAGCTATGTGCATTACGTATCCAGTACCCACGGTTTTGCCTTATCGACTTGTACCCAAATTACTGTATGGTACCAATATATTACGTAAGCTTGTACGATTTGGAGGTCCGTACCCAAGTCGTTTTGTATTTAGTCAAATTGTCCAATTATTTCGTTCTAGCCAATCAAACAAGTTGAAAAACTAGGAATGGAACCCATGGGAAAGAAATTAGACAACGTACTGTATTCATTTCGATCAGATTTTACTGACATTTTCGGGGTACAGATCTATCCTAACTAGTATGGGGTACTAGTATACAGGAGTTCGATCAAAGTTATAAGCGTGCAAGTGTGAGTTATCGCGATGATCCTTGCCACACTGTACGATATGTACGCAGTCGTTTAGCCAAAAGTCCTAGGTATTTTTGGTATAACGTTGAGGTTATATGGAAGTTCTCGAGATTTCAACGGCACACCAAAACCTTCTCACATTCGAAAATATCTAGCGTAAACCATCGAAAATGCTCGTCCATCGTCTTCGTTGTGCCGCAAACATCAAAAATCCTTCGACATGTTTATGGGTGTGCATGATATCGTGGACAAGTTCATTTGTCAACTTTTCCGACGATGCTACCTACGATCCGGTTGGTTTTCGTCTTATTTGCCATGGGGCTGCTGGCTGCGGTGGCACAGTCCCAAGTCAACACGACTCTTTGTGGCCCTCGAGTTCGACGGGCGTACAGCAAGCTCAGTATGGCGGAAAGGGACACCCTCAAGTTAGCATTTGAGCTTGGTACTATCAACTCAATGTTATTCTATGTGTTTTTGACGCATGGTTTGACCTGTAGCCATGCAATTGGGGCACCATCACCGGTTTGTCGCCGTGCACCAGCACCCACCCAACGAGTACGAAGCGCACAGCTGTATGCTTGTGTACTGGCATCGGCGTTTCCTCTGGGGCTATGAAAACATGCTGCGTTCCCTCGGCGACGACTTTCAATGCATTACGATTCCATTCTGGGACTACACGGCCGCGAGTTCAAACTACCTCGACCCGAACGTCCCGTGTGCGTCCATGGCCGAGTGCAACCCTGTCTTGCCCGACTATGGGGCCAGCAGCAGCATCAATGTGGACAGCAACAGCTCGACGTTTATCCTGGGGGGGTCAACCACTGCCGCGGGCGAAACCGTGAATGCCGACTATTGCGTCCGAGACCCTGATCAGCCCGCCACTCGTAGCTTTTGCCAGAGCGAAGACGCGTTCCGAACCAACACTTGCCTCGGGTAAGAAGCACGAGCTTTGCCATACAGTAGGGGTCGACAGCAGCCTGAAGGGTCGCGATTTGTTTATAGGTGCATCCCAAGAGGGGATTGGACGGCGGCGCAAGTCACCACCGATATGACCTTGGTGAGCATCAGCAACCAAGTGTTTGCCCCCACCATGAGTGTGTTTACACAAAACATCATGTACAAAGTGCATCGTACGTAACACCATATCCAGATGTTCAAAGAGTTCATGTCGATTTATATATCTCTAGCCAAAGTCCACGCCAACTTGAACGGCGCTATGTCCACGATGGCCTCCCCCGCGGACCCCGTCTTCTTTTTCCATCATGTACGCCGCTAAGAACCTTAAACAACAATTCCGTCACCTTGGTCATTTGAACCAGGCCATGATGGACGCTCTGTGGTCCATCTACTACAAGTGCCAAGCCCAGGGCGCTATGCTGTCCGACTCGCGTGTGTTTCCGCCGTCGGACTGGAACCTCTTCAACCGTCGCGTGTGCGGTCCGGCCGTGGCCATCGCCAAGAGCTCGTCCCCCCGGTTCACTATTTCCAAGAACAACATGTCCATGTTGTACGTGAACGGCACGACGGGGGCCGCCACGTTTGACGTGGGCGACCCCAGGAGCCCCCTCGCGCCCTTCTTCGCCTCCACTCCCACGACCTACACGTCGTACGGTCGGTATCCGGCGTCCGCGGGCATCTCGTACGACTTCGCCGGCACGGGGCTGGACATTCTCTTCAACGAGTGCTCGTCGTGGCTAACTTCGGCGACAGTTTCGTCGTCGACGGCGGCCTCGTTCTTGGACGCCCGCTACGACGGCGGACGGCGAAACAACAAGCCCAAGACACGCGGCCAGTCCAAGGCTGTGGCCACCCAGATCGACGCCATGCAACGCATGTACGCGCACGCTCGGAAGTACGTCAAGAGCGACCGCAAGGCGCGGGAATATGTCGAAATGATGATATGTGTCCATCGCAACGAGTGCCTCGGAGGGGTTTTCGACTACGCGGCTACGTTCAAACGAAGCTTCAAACTTCACTTGAGTCCGTACTGCTACGATGTGCTGGAAGACATTGCGACGGGAGAGCGAACCATCCCAGTCCCTGGCTGGGCGCGGCTGCTCATGGACACGTACGGATGCACTCACATTCAACAAGATACCCCTTACCAAGACCGAAGCCGTCGGTATTAATCACGGAGGAAGAGGCAGCATCCAAGACCACGTCAGCGGATGCATTCGTCGGGGATGCCGACATGTTTGCACGTTTTGATATATACCGTACTATATTGTTTACGTTTTTTCATCGATATTTCCAATAACGTTAGTGCACCATGAATGGCAATACGTAAGATGTTTCGAGGTGTTGGGGTCAATATTTCTAACTACTACAGTAGTAACCTACTATTAATAATACCGGGTACTATTAATACTACGTAGTAATATAATAGTAGCAGAATACTACAGTAGTACGGTTATGTAGATTGACTGTGAATCATTTTGCTCCTAACGTTACTATTAAGAATAATACAGATTGTGGGCCTGTCTTTCTGCAAAATGGTTCACTGTCAATTCAGGAAATGATAGGGAGTTCGAGGTTATACTTCGAAGTATACTGTATATATACTAGTGTTTTAGAGGTTTGGCTATAACGTATCACAGGTTTTAGCAAATAACCTGCGGAAGTGCATTCTTCTGCCGAATACATTATCCGGCACAATTTACTGTTAGCTTTCCGGGTATGATACCTTTGGTATGGTGCAAGAAAGCTAGAAACGACGAAGTGGCCAAATTCTTGGAATCGAATTTGAAAGGTTTTCGGGCACTCTTAACCTATACCTAACCTGCAAAATTGCATGTCAAGTGAGCGATTGGCTGATTGGGTTTTTGATTTCCAACATTCTTTTGAAACCATGAAATTCGCGTTTGCGAAGCCCACAGGTCGATTCAGGCCCTGAGACTGCGTTT